TCCTGTTGTACTTAGTTATTTTCTTTGCTCTATTCATGATTGGGGTTTTATTAAATTTATCACTACTTGACAAAGAGAGTTAACTGGTTTGTTTATACTGTAAATAAATGTTAATCAACAAACAGATATGGAATATCTATTACTACGTGCTATATGTACAGTGACATTATGATGAGGTTTAATCCTCTTTATTGTTGGTGTTTTTTTTTCCTTGCAGTTAATTCTTAATTGTCCAATCCTAGAGAACAATGTCAGTCTAACATGCAGCATCAGTTCATCTGATGGAAAAACAGCTAGGATAGGATTCACAAGGGACCCAGAAAGGCCCTTTATAACTGCCTGTCCACTGAGAACAGTTATGAAAGCATCATGCTCTCAGTATGGGGCAATGGAACCCAGGAAATGTGGAACCTTCCCCATGTGTTGAACTACAAACCAGCCCAAGCAAAAGCCAGTTGGCTATGGCACTCTTAAATGGTGGGCAATGCTAAGAAGTCTGTCTTCAAATGTTATCTCCAGAACAGAGTTTTTCAATCTTAGCACTATGGACATTTCGGATCAGATAATTCTTTGTCGGAGGTTGGGGGCAGTCCTGTACATTATAAGATTCTTAGCAGCATCCCTGGTCTCTACCCACTAGATGCATCAGCATCAATAATGTCTCCAGACATTGCCAACAACCAAAGATGTCTCTTAACATTGCCAGTTGGGAGTAGGGGACAACAGTCACTCCCAGTTGAGAACAACTATACTAGGGAGACACTCTCTTACTCTTTTTCCCTTTGACGTAAATATCTTGGCAGAGTGAAGGATTGGAGGAATGGAGGGGAGGCAGAATGTAGATGAGAATTCTGCCAAAGCATTTATGGAAATTTTTTTGTTACCCTTAAAATTGCCTTGAGAGACTTTTCGAACATGGTAGGGAAATAAGCTTCATTCTTCAAGTTCATAGCTCAAAGCTCATGGATTTATACTTGGAATCATAGAATTTTAGAATTAGAAAAGACCTTAGAGATTAACTAGGTTTAAGTAATTAGGTTATCCATCAAATGTTTTAACTTCTCCAAACTCAGAGCACTGCAGATGTTTGTCACAAGGACACTATAGCTATGCTATAGAGAGAGAACCAAATTGTAAAGTATCTAGAAGAGTGTCATATGCAAAGTAAAAATAAAAAATGGATATCACTGTGCCCCGGATGCAATCTGGATTTAGTAGAGAACACCACTCCTAATGATCTGGGTTCAAAATGATTCAAAAACAACACACCAAAATATGTTCCAGTTTCATAACTAGAAGAACAAGCATGGGTTGAGGGCGGGGGCCGGAAAATACATGGTAAAAAAAAAAAAATTCAGTAAAATTAAGCTTCTGCTGGCTGCAATCACAGCATTTTAGCAAAAATATTCACAGTTCTGTTGCTTGGCCAAAAAACCTTGTCTCATTTATGTAACATTTCTCTCCTAGTGACACACATCCTGCATTCATTTGCCTGAGATGGCCCGCTTAAGTAAAAGTAAACTGAAGGAAAGCCATCCAGAAAACAAATCACCCAGCAGTTTGCTTATCCATTTTTCATAAACATCAGGACCATCCCCTTCCAAACAAAAGACAGAACATTTGCTACAAGATGAAGATGGAGGAAGTAGAATCTCATTTTGCTCCTTTTGGCCTGTAACATAGGAAATTAACTTTCGGGGGAGCTCCAAGAGCTTCCTCTTCTCCAGTTTCATTGTGGCACAATTTAAGCAGGAGTAGGTAACACCTCCACCCTTACCCTCTTCCCACCTCTCCTTCACTGCTCCTAGCATGGGGTGAGGCTGTGGGTGACTAATCTCATTAGAGGATTGGGGGAATATACTATGCCCTCAGATCCAACCACTCTGCGCTCTCGTACCTGTCTACCTGCACAGAGTGTCCTTCCAGCAACCTTAACAGGGGCAGGCATTGGCATGCAGGAAGCCTGCAGTCAGCCAGCTGGGCTGTAAATATCACTAAAGCAAGCCCTTTTGGCCACAGATATAAAGCTCACATCCTTCAATCAGCTTATCAGCAATAAAGCTGACAGACATTCGGATTTTCTTTGTCTTCTGTGTCAATTGGTTTAAGACCCCAAGAGTAAGATTTGGGTTAGAATGGGTGAAATAACCATGTGAGAACACAGGCCCATTCACACCACAGGCTACACTTAAAATGATCAAAGCCCAGTTAAATCTACATCTCCATGCCCAGAGACTCACACAGTTTGGTCTCACAAATGGGAGAATACCAAGCTGAATACATGAATGCTGCGTGCAAAGTCTTCCCCAAGGAAACTTTCTATTTTGGGGAGTAGGGTCCTTCCTGATTTCTAGTACTGACTCTAACATTAGCTTGGGTGAGTCACTGCATCTTCATGGAGCTGACCCTCAACTGTTTAAGTCTCAAAGGTGGTGAGTATAGGACCAGGAATCCTAGGAGGTTTTGTGTGCCTGCTTTTATTTACTTTCCTTTTTGTGTTACTGAGGGGAGAAAGAATCCTGTAAAAACAGCAAAGATGGAGAGCCTCTAACCTTTGCGGCCTCCAGGTGCTGAATGCTAACTTCATTAATTCTGTGTATTCCTTATAGAGTGAAACATCATTGCCTATAGTGGTCCTCAAGGAATTTCATTTAATGAAATGATAGGAACAACTGCAATTAGAATATAATTGTGTGTATGTAAATATGCTTAGGGGAGCTTTGATAGAGTTTATGGCTGCTACATTCACCCAGAATTTTGGCCTACATTATTAATTTGCACTTCTATGAAGAAAGGGTTTGTTAATCAAAGATAAACTATCCCAATGATTTTGAATTAGGGAACTTCAAATTATGGTGGATAATGAGGCAGCGCTGTGCACATATACAATTCTCTACTAAGCGGAAGCTTTCTGGCTGGCCACATAGGAGGTCTCCTTATTGAAAGATTTATTTTTAATTTTGAACAGCTTCCCAGCATTACCCTTCATGAAAATTAAAATAAGGAGCTGGAATTTTGTCCTATTCAGCAAACCTCCTGGCAGGACTGCACACGCAGGCAGAGAAAACCTTACTGTGTCAGAGGAATTCTCTGTCCATTTTTCTCCTAGATGTAAAAGAATAACACCTACATTTAAAATAAAACTTTGACTCTTTTCCCCTCTCTAGTATGATTTTTATATCTTCTTTTTTCTTTTGGAGGATTTTTAGTGTGTCTTCTTTGTGCTCTCTGGACCTTTTGCCCTGGTAGGTGTTGACATAATCTCTTGGCTCAAATCCTAAAGTATATAGAGTTATAGAAGTCTCCCCCCAAATCTGAGGGAGCCAAGTCTGTCCTCAGTACATCTCGCACAGGCTTTCTCTGCCAAAGAGAATGACTTCACCCTGTATAGCTGAGGCTCCAAAGGTCCATTCTTAGTTATAATCCAGTTAGAAACGCAATGTAGTGATGAATTTGACAATAGCCAAAAAGGTATAAGGGGGTTGAGGGGGGGAGGGCAGAGATTGTTCTGCACTCCACTGTCTTCAAATTCAGAGAGATTAGTGGCACTAACCGTGTTCCCCGGATCTGTGTGTAATATTTCCAATGCATTCTTCCAAAAGGAAACTACTAAAACATTGGCAATCACAAAGTTCTCATGTTGCTATCAAAAATGACTAAATCATACTAGTCTTTGTAGAAAAATAAAACTAATGATCACTAACAGTGTTCACAACCTAGCACAGAATTAAGAGACAAAAACCTAGCCAGTTGACCTGTTCACACCACGTATTTAAAAAGACCATTCCCATTCGTGTCGCTGAAGACACATTCCGGTAAGATTTGCCATTCTAGCCTGCGTGCAACATCTTCCCCAAGTCTTAACTTTTTACTTATTTTAAAGAGTTCAGGAGGAAATGGACAAATACTGGCTTTGGATTTGGACACTGGAATACTTCTCACTAAAGGATCAATTAGCACAGATATTTTACTTAACTACTGAGTGCACTTCCTGAAACATTCATTTAAGAGAAAAGTGGGGTAAGAGGCAATACGATTGTTGGCAATTTATAATCCTTTTCCGGCCATGTTTGTTGTCCTTAAGAGTCTCACAAAGGAGAAAACCACAGTCCCTTTTTCCTGCTCCTCTTTACTCTCCAGAAATAACAGGGGGTCAGTAATATAAAACTCCTCATGGGGTGAAAACTTTTTTCAGCAAAGGAATACACATGAATGAGTCAGGCGCTAAAACCCAGAGATGTAGATTTTGAAAATATTTGATATTGAAGAATTTGTGACAGTTAAGCAATTAATTCCATAGAAACACTTCATGAACAGAAAACTGTTCTCTGAATTAGAAGAAAGTGATGGAAACTGGCCATTCCTTCCACCTTACCAGGCTGCCATGTCAATCATAGATTCAACTATGAAAGTGGCCGCAAAACTAGTATGTGTCTAAAGACAAACTCTGTCTACCACACAGATAAAGATTTACATGGAAATTCTAGTATCGTTCCAAGTAGATTATTTATAAAATTTTACATTAAAGAACACGATCAAAATTATAGTTGCTAATGCTTTTGTTTGAAAATACAGCAAATATCAATACAGCACTCTGTACGGCTAAAAATTAATTTTATAATTCTACATAATCCGTAAGTGCACTGGTATCTAGCCATGGACATTGCGATTAAAATGGCCAATACAAATCCTGTCCAAGAAAGGTCCAGCATAGAGTGAGGCAGTTTACTAGAACGTCATTCTTTTTCAATCAGACATTGTCGTAGTCCTCGTATTATTATTATATCCACCACCTAGTACAGGGCATGCTATGCAGTTGATGTGCAAAAAAAATTTTGCTAAATGAACAAATGTCCTTCTAAGTATCTTTTATAACACAGCTCCCGGGATAAATTGGTTCTACTTCAAGTATAGAACTTTAACATCACTTCATTGTTATTACCATAAGTCTTTTCTCCATAAATACTCAGATCATACAAGCAAGTGGATTTGATTCCTACCTGCTTGGTTGGTTGTCACAGTGACAGAAACTGATTGGTCTGGGCTAGGATTGTACTTGGACACTCCATTCACAGCCCAGATTTCAAACGTGTAATTGGTATGAGCCAGGAGGTCAGTGATGGAGACTTTGGTGGTCTTCAGGCCATTCTGCTGTGGTGTATAATGGACACCACTCCCACAGGGTCGGCACTTGCTGGGGTCCCCAGATCCACATTTCTTGCACACCACGTTATAGGAAATGTCCTGGCGACCACCTGTGTTCTGAGGGCTGCTCCACTCCAAGTTCACCGATGTCTCGTTGACATTTGAAATCAAGTTCAGGGGAGCAGACGGCGGGCCTGGAAAAAGAAAACCATGTAATCACACCAAGAACTGAAATATCCTTTTGGAATCTCTCAGAGTTTGGATTATTCTTTACAGCTCTAGAAAGGAAGGTAGGCCCATTTGGCAAAGAAAGCAACAAGCAAATCAAACGAACAAAAAAGATATTTTAAAAGAACAATATGATAGAAGGCTGTAGGTGAGAATCCTTCTCATTCTTGTGCAAGCAAACACAGTACCAACTGCCACTCAGAGATGTGAAGCAACTCTATAAGCAAATGGGCTCCAAGCCCAGGCTTTCTCTCTGAAGTGGCAGGAAAATATCTTAACTTATCTAGTCTCCATCTTATCGTCTGAAAAGCGAAGGTGATTCTAGTTCCCAGGGCTGTTGTGGTACTCTGGGAAATTAATAGTTATACACACCACTTCTGAAGATAAATTATAATTTCTAAGTACAGCATGTCATCGATAGCAAATAAAACTAACAAAATTGTATAGATATGCTTCTGTAGTTCAACATGGCAGCTATTTATGGGTAATTAGTAGGAACTGGTTTAACACGGTTGCAGGGATGTCAAAGATACAGCTGTTGAGTGATGTTAGTGCCAGGCTGGGATCGTTCAGGCTATCAGAGCCCTCTTCCTGCCCTTCACTGTGCTCATTCCCACCGACATCAAAGAGTTTCTGACATAAGAATGATGGTAGTGGATGTTATGAAACAAAACAACGGATCACTAACAACATAACGACTGGCTTAAAAATAATGATAATAAATAAGACTAAAGATCATGATGAAACTCTTCCTTCTTGCTGTATATCAGTCATTATATCCAAAGAAGTTGTGCCTTCAAGTAGAAGAATCAGGCTGGGAGAAGGAAGAGTTAATTTTCTTAATCTGAGGCAGTTCCAAAAGACAGCTGCCACACTCTAATGAGAAATACTTAATATGACAGCTGGAAAGTTCTCTCTTTTTTTCTCATTTCAGTCTTCCAAGAGGTGAGTCAAAATGAGTTTTCAAGAAAATTTGAGGTTTCTTGATCACTGTTATCATACAGTTGCTAATGTATGTGGAATGGCTACTTTGAGGGAAGTTCGTATATTTCCTCAGGAAAAGGAAGTTAACTGGAGGCCTGCATGAACTCAGGAGGACTTTACCTAACCAACCTCAATGGAACATACTGTTACAAAGAGAGACTTCAAATCAGAGAGACTTGAAAGAGATGACCTTTAAATAAGAAGTCATATTCATTATTTATTACGTAGCTTGTGGTGATTAATGGCTGAAGGATTTTTTTTGGTGGTAACATTTAATAAGGGTAATTCACTCTTCTTTTCTCTTCATACCGCTTATTGAAGACTTTATTTTATTTATTTATCTATCTATCTATTTATTTATTTATTTTTGTTGTTGAGTTGGAGTCTCACTCTGGCGCCCAGACTGTAGTGCAGTGGCAGCTCCCGGCCACCGCAGCCTCGACCTGCAGGGCTCCGGCGATCCTTCCACCTCAGCCTTCCAAGTAGCTGGAACTACAGGTGCGCGCTATCACACCTAATTTTTGATTTATTGTAGAGATGAGGTCTCGCCAAGTTGCCCAGGCGGGTCTCGAACCCGTGAGCTCAGGCAATCCACTCACCTCAGCCTCCCAAAGGCGCAGGATTACAGGCTGAGCCATTGAGCCTGGCTGAAGACTTTATTGTAACAAGGTAGGCAGGCTCTCCCATACACCCCTTGGGTCTAATTACCAACCACCCCTCTCAGCATTAAGATTAACTCCCCATCCTGTGAAATTTGAAGAAAAAAATAAAAACCTTAAAAAATTTTTGTTTACAAAAGTATTATAAAATTTATATTTACAGGTAAGGTAAGATTACCTCACAGAAGTCCTTGGAAAGAAAATATAAAATTCTTTCTTGTTTAGACTTCAAAATTGTCTTTGTGGTTCTTAGCACAGTGACTGGAATATAATAAGGGTGAATAGATGGTTTTTGAATAAATAATTGAAGTTATTCAAAATCACAGACTCTAAGAAATGCATAGGGTGTTAACATCATTTGGTCAAATACCCTCAAGTTAAAGAAAAGGAAATTGAAATCTGGAAAGTGGATCTGATAATATTGAAAGTTCATGCAATCTAATTAGTGACAGAACTAGACTAAAATCCGAAAGCACTATTTGCCATTTGGGGCTATTTTTATTCCACCATGTGTTCCTCACAAAAGGTATAAAGACAACAAAATCAAACATTTCACCAGAGTTTGAGAGTCAAGAGTAGGGAAGGGGAGCACATATATCTTCAGTCCTGCTTAAATTCTGTAATGGGTGCCACCATGGTGAAATCCACCACCAGTCTGCAGCTGAAGCTGACTAAGGCTTGGTTTATAAATGGGTCAGCCATTGGTTCTTATTTTGCTATGACTTCCAGGGTTAAATAAGAGTGACTCTGAAATCCATTAACCTCCTTGCCAATGTTCCTGGTCCACTTTCACATGGGAAAATGTGACACAATGAATCAAGCAATGCAGAAGCAAAAAGTCAGTAATTAGTATGTAGGACGGGGCATGGCAGTGTCTAAACAGAGAAGAAATGGAGCAGAAAACTAAATGGTCACAGGACTCAGAGATATAACACAGCCACGTGGAAAAAAAAAAAAAACGAAGATGCTGCCAGATTTTAAAATGGAGGAAGCTAGCATGAGAACAAGAGCTGACCTGAAGCCACCTTCTTCCTCTGGGCAGAGATTTTTAAAGAAAACCCTGAGGTAGATGCTCAAGGGAAGACCGAGAACTTGGCAGGAGGGTCAATGCTGCCTCCATGAACATTTTGGTGAATTGTACTACATATGTTTTCTGTTTTGCAACCATAGAGAGAGAGATGGTCATGTGGGGACATAGTTGTCCTGGAAACTAAACTATGAGAAAGTCATATAATAGAGGGGAAAATGAAATACAGAAATATCCAACCAGTCTGATTATAATGTTGGCCTGCAAAAACCTGGGAAAGGACACATGCTTTACAAATAAAATCATAATAGTTGCGTTGTGTTTGTGGGATTGTGGCTTCTTTTTGTTAACTCTTGCCAATTAAAACATAATAACTATATAATGAGTGTGTTCCCATTTAAAGAGAGGGCTCATCTCTTTCTCAGAAAAGAAAGTATTCTCTTCTCAAGACAATGAAAAGAAAGTATGTATGTGCATACAGCCAAAAGTCAATCTGGGCCCACAATTATACCTAACAGTGGCACCTTAAAACAATCACCTACGGAAATGGCTAAACAGAAGAGAAAAATAGCATTCTGAATAATATGAGCCCCTTTTCAATAAACACAAGGCATCTAGAAGTACAAAATTTAACTCAGATTATTTTCTCTTTCATTTATGTAAGTATTGGTCTGGATATTTAGGAGCGATTAAATTTCTGACATGATTGCCTTTCTTGTCAGAAATAGGTCCCCCTGAAAGTAATCTCCAATTACAAATATGAGGTTCATAAGAGGGATAACATACTACTTGTTCTGATTGTCTAGTGTCCACATATGAATTATCCCTACTGAGCACACACTAACATCAGGTAGCTTAAGATCATGTGAATGACAAGGTTTTATGCTTTTCAAAACTACCTACCACTAGCCTGAATATAAGACAGGCAACAAATCCTGCTTGTAGTGATGTTCCACATTTCAGTTTCCTATTTCTATTTCCTACTTTGTAATATGTAGTGGTGTCTTGCTAATCAGACACATACCCTATGTCTGTTTTTATCACTAGTCTGTAAGCTTCTTAAGATAATTGATGTCTTTATCACTTTCCATTGTCCACCATGGTTCCTAGTTCAGAGTAACCTCAATAAATGTTTGATGAATCAACAAATTAATGAATGAATGAATGGAAAACTAACCAAGTCCTTTAATGTATCTTATACCCACCTACCTGAAGTATTATGAAGTGTGTGAATTATGTAGGCTTCTCGGAGCTTAAGCTGTATTGTAAGTAGCTTTTCACATACAGATTCATTAGCATTAGGCCTGTGAAGTTGTAACTCAATGTAACTAGTTTAATTCAAGTTCCTCTTTCATCATAGTTTATAATAACTTTGGAAAAAATAGAAAGGGCTATATAGCAAATATTAATGGTTCCTTCTACTGAGAGGGGTTGAAACATTTATTCAACAAACATTTGAGTGACTAGTATTTGTCACCTGAGCTAGATGAGAGAGGGAAAAAAGTATTCTGATTCATTTTGATACTTTCGTAGTAATTTTCTGGAGAGTTGAAGAAAGGGATAGAGAACCTAGGGGAAAAAGAAGAGACTAAAGGAAACTCAATATGGATTATATGTGCATTGGATGTAAGGGCAAGTGCCTGTTCTGTCCTACTTTTGCAGCTGCATAACCAGTCACTATGACTGGAAATTTTAAATGTAGCTCTATCAAATAAAGTTTTGTCAACTTGGGACTGATTATTACCACTTTTTCTTCTCTACTTTAATTCCAGGTGATGATTTATTCAAGCATGAAGTTGGGGAAAACTTTAGCTCTGAAGAGAATTAATTTTAACATTTCCAAAGGTAGGGTGGTATTTTTTGTTATTAGCTTTTATAGAACCACATTTTCCTTTAATCTTAATTTTTTTTACCAAAATTAAGACATTTTAAAATATAAATTAATCAAATGCTGAAGTGTATTTAAGAGAAAATAAATGTACTTTACATATTTTTGGTTGTATTTGTAAAACTTCTGTGACATTCCCATATAAACCCAGTATTCTCTCTCTCTGCCTCCCCTGTAAGTAAAGGGCTGGCATGTTAAACTCTTTTAAAGTTTTCATAGGTAGAATATGAAATATTCACATTTGTAATATAATTTATTGGTGGAGGTAATAGCTGTACTAACAGAAACAAAAGTCAAATGCAATAATCTTTAGTTTATGAATCTTTAGCACAGGGGCCAGCATCATTTCTTCGTAAAGAAATGTTACTATCTGCCCAGAAAGCAAATATTTTAGGCTATCTGGGTTAT